GGTTGTTAAATTATTTGAAGCCCACCCCTGGTTAGTTCTCCTCCATGCTGCTATTTTAACTACTCCTGAAATACTGTAAACTTCTTTTGAGCTTCAGCTTTGAATTTGCTTGGCGATCAAAATCTGAAATGACATTCTTGGCATTTCTCGCTGTTGGCAAGAATTGTACTTAGCCTAATTAGATTCCCCGCTCCCCACAACCTAATTCGAGCATCTAGGGCAGATTAGAGGTGGTTTATTTTTAGCACAATTTTACATTGATCCTTTCTTAACTAATTTATGGTCTGCCTGGGCCACCCTGCTTATTTTTCTAATGGACTTTTGTTGGGCTTCTATTGTTTGCTTGACCTCTGCAGCCATGAAATGTCCAGACTCTCTGATATACCAGCATTGCCAGAAAGGCTGCATGAAACACTGTGAGAATGGGACCAACTTGCAAGTCTGCATGGACTACCCCACCGAGGGCTGTTTCTGTCCACCTGGACAGGTTGTCCTGGATGGCACCTGTGTTCACGAAGACATCTGCTCCCAATGCATCAGCGAAGATGGAACTCGTCATCAGGTGAGGCTTTCATTCTGGACTCCCATCATTTATTGCGGAGAGGGAGAATGATGGCCCTTTTATGACTTGTGGACTTCAACTCCCAGAATTCCCCTGGCTGGCTCAGGAATTCTGGGAGTTGAAGCCCACAAGTCATAAAAGGGCCATCGTTCCCTACCCCCTTATCTACTGAGAAAATGAAAAACCTTCAGAGAGAGAGGAACTTTCAGATTTCATAGGATCCGGTCCCTATATCAGTGCCATCCACCGAGTATCAACTTCAGCAGATACAGGTAGTCCTCAACTTACAACAACCCATTTTTGTGATGGTTCGAAGTTACGACAGCACTGAAAAAAAAGTGACATGACAGTTGTTGGTTTTTTTTACATTACACCATGAGCCATGGTGGCGCAGTGGTTAGAAGGCAGTACTGCAGGTCTCTTCTGCTGACTGCCAGCTGCCAGAAGTTTGACAGTTTGAATCTCACCAGGCTCAAGATTGTGATGACCTGGGGCGTGACACAAAGGCAACACAGTCAAATAAGCAAGAAGTGTCCATTTAATACCTCCAACTTTGCCCCCAATGTCCAGGTTACCTCCAGCTGGGGGAAAAACTCTCCCAAGAACAGTCTTTAAGTGGAGGAAATTCAGGCTGAAAACAAAGTACATACAAACTGTAAATAAAAATCCAAACAGACAAAGCTGCAGTAATTAACTTGACAGGGCAAGAGAAGGAATTGCAGACTTGAAAACCAAGCAAAACACACACAGTTGGGAAGATGCCAGGAGACCAGATAAGCCTCCACGATACCAGATAATTCATGATTTGCTCCCAACAGTTTGCTTTTTAAACACTGTGTTCCCAGCTGCAGCTAATGAAGGGAATCAGGGCCCTTTCCTCCCCCAAAAGCCACGTAACCCACATTGCTCCCTTCTCCGTTCCTCCCTGTGTGCCCTACGATGAAGAGGGGGTGGGCCTGGGTCTTCCTCTGAACGCCCTCTGCCTTGCTCTACCTCTCTACCTGCTATGCCCAGATGGACTTTGCCCTTCCCCAGTTTCTTCCACAGCCAACAGAGCCACACTCCCACTCCCTGTCAGCTGATTGGCCTCCCCCTCTGAATCAGAGTCCAACAGGGGCATAACACAGTTTGATTCAGCCTTCCATCCTCCCGAGGTGCATAAAATGAGGACCCAGATTGTTGGGGGCAATAGGCTGACTCTGTAAACCTCTTAGAGAGGGCTGTAAAGCATTGTGAAGCGGTATATAAGTCTAAGGGCTACTGTTATTTTGGATCGTTGCAGCATTCCCCATGGTCACTTGATCAAAATTCAGGGGCCAGTGGCCACTGGCACCTATTTATGACGGTCACAGTACCCTGAGTTCACATGATCCCCTTCGGCTACCTTCTGGCAAGCAAAGTCAATAGGGAAGCTGGACTCACTTAACAATCGTGTTACCAACTTAACAACTGCAGTGATTCACTTAACAACTGTGGCAAAAAAGGCCGTAAAATGGGACAAAACTCACTTTTCAACCATCTTGCTCAGCAACAGAAATGTTGAGCTCAGTTGTGGTCGTAAGCCGAGGCCTACCTATACTCCAGCAGTTTATTATTTATACAATATTACTTTGCTACTGTTATTATTACATTTGCTATCTTTTTTTTCCATTCCAGAATAGCTCCACAGAGAAATAAGCTATTTTTAATTCTTTTAACCAATAAACAAACAAATAAATGGCAGGAATCTTATCCTTCTTTTGTTGGGCCTTGTCATGCCCCTGTTGGAGTCTGACTCCGAGGGAGAGGAGGAACAGCTGACAGGGAGTGGAAGTGTGGCTCTGGATGTTGTGGAGGAAACTGGGGAAGGGCACAGGCCAGCTGGGCATTCAGAGGAAGACCCAGGCCCATCACCTCTTCATCCTAGGGCACGCAGGGAGGAGCGGATAAGGGAGGAATGTAGGTTACGTGGCTTTTGGGGGAGGAAAGGGCCCTGATTCCCTTCATTAGCTGCAGCTGGGAACACAGTGTTTAAAAAGCAAACTGTTGGGAGCAAATCATGAATTATCTGGTATCGTGGAGGCTTATCTGGTCTCCTGGCATCTTCCCAACTGTGTGTGTTTTGCTTGGTTTTCAAGTCTGCAATTCCTTCTCTTGCCCTGTCAAGTTAATTACTGCAGCTTTGTCTGTTTGGATTTTTATTTACAGTTTGTATGTACTTTGTTTTCAGCCTGAATTTACTCTATGTGGGAGGAAGGGGCTCTGATCCCCTTCATGGGCTGCAGCTGTGAGGACTGTTTAAAAGGACAAACTGCGCATCGGCCAGTGCTTGAAGCAAAGCATGCATTATTCTTGTTGGAGCTTATCTGTGTTTTGGCTTCCTCCCAACTGTGGTTGCTCCATTATCTGGTAGAAGTTCGCAATTAATCGTCCTTGCCTGCTGTAGTAATTCCTTCACTGTGGTTTGTGTTGGTTTTTTTTATTTCGAATTAACTTTACTTTGGGTGCGGACTGCATTTACTCCCTCCATAAACTGTTTTCTTTAAGAGTTTGATATCCAGCCGAGGATAATTGGACATTGGGGCCAAGTAGGAGGCATTAAATGGACTATTTTGGTGCCTTAGTTATTTTTGTGTCATGCCCCAGGTCATCACAGGCCTTTTCTCCCTGACCGTCACTACTATGTGGAAAATTCCACATCGTTTTTCAAAATGCCATATAAAGAAATAAATATTATGTCACGGGGACATAATTTTCAAAATGGAACCTGAGGCAAAAAATATCCTAGGTGTCCCTCAGAAATGAAAATCTCAGCTTTTGCTTTGTGAGCAGGGGTAGCCTTAGGCTATTTAATATTTTCCTCTCATTTTATTTCCATCTGTGGAACACCTTTGGTGTCCATTGCTCTCTGGAGTTATTTATTGCTTTTTATCAGCCTCTCCAAGGAGTTACAGTTATGTAGTTCCATGTCTGTTTACCATCAGCCTATATTCTTAGGAAAGGATATGCTCATGGAAGAATCTGGAACGTTTTTAGTGAAAAATAGGCTTGGTGTGCCTTTGTTGTAAAATGCATGACCAAGGAAATAATGCGAAACACTATATGTCCTGAAATTTTCCAAAGTCTGGCTTTACTTGTCTTATTGAGTTAATATTTGGTATGCTTTATTTAATGACACGTTTCTCTTTCTTCCAGTATTTTCAGGAGCGTGCTGGTGCAATTGGGGGAAAGAGCGAGGCCCTGAAATTATTTGTACCTCGGGTCAAAGGCGGTAGCTTTCGTTTGCATCCAAACCAATTAGAAAGACTCATATATCCTTCTCTTTTTTTTTTCCCAACAGCCCTTGGAAACATGGATTCCTTCCACTGAACCCTGTAAAGTCTGCATGTGCCTGGAGAATAGGACAGTTAGTTGTGCAGCTCAGCCTTGTACGACAGCCAAACGTAAGCCCAAATGTCTTTTCAAAAGGCCTCAAAACAGCAGTGGGATCCTACCTGTTTCACTACCGGTTCAGTGATCACACATGCACACCAGCTGAGGCCTGCAGTGCCAATCAGCTGAGAGGATAAAGAAGAGAAAAGCACATGGGTGGGTGGGAGGACCAATCAGAGATGGGATGCTACCAGTTCAGCCCAGTTCTATTGAACTGGTAACTCTGAAGAGCAGCTGACACTGAACTGGTTCACTGTAATGACCTTCTGGTCGTCTGTTTGGCCCACCCGCCTGCCTGGGCTCTTGGCTGTCCTTTATTTCCTGCTTTCTCAACCTCAGCTGCTTTGCGCAGCACAGCTGAGGTTGAAAAAGCAGGAAAGAAGAGGCTTTTCAAATGCTGCACACCAGCGTGCAGCGCTTGTCAGCTGTCCGGGTGGCACAGCTGATGTTTTTTTACAAGTGATGTACACACACACACACAGCAAAATGCACTCTCACCGAATTGGTAGCAACACTGGTTGAATCCCACTCCTGGGGCCGATCCTGCACTTTTCTTTTCTTTCTCCACTCAGCTGGTTGTCTAAGCCTTTTCCCCCTCCTCTCAGCTGATGTTGGAGGCATTTTTTTACTACCGGTTCAGGAGAACCAGTCCGAACCAGTAGCCTATCGCCACTGCCTTGAAGGATCTTCAAACAAGGCTGCATTGCGTGCGATTGAACAACCTGCCACAGCCATCTTGCCACGGGGCAACTTGCCACAGGATGGCTCAATGTGATAAACATCATCTGCCACATTCTCTTCGACATGTCGCCCCTTGACGAAAACAAGGGACATCATGTTGAAGAAACCATGGCGGAGAACATGGATCAGGTTTGAGTCATCCCACGTGGATTGTCCTGAGACTAGATGGCTGCGGCAAGATCAGAATACAAAATAACAGAGTTGGAAGGGACCTTGTAGGTCATCTAGTCCAACCCCCCGCCCAAGCAGGAGACCCTACACCATTTCTGACTGATGGCAGGCCAGTCTCTTCTTGAAAGCCTCAAGTGATGACACTCCCACAATTTCTGAAGGCAACTTCTGTTCCATAGGTTGATTGTTCTCACTGTCAGAAAAGTTATCTTTATTTCCAGGTTAAATCTCTCCTTGGTCAGTTTCAATCCATTATTCCTTGTCTGGACTTCAGGTTCTTTGGAAAATAGCTTGACCCCTTCCTCCTCTCTGTGGCAGCCCCTCAAATATTGGAAGACTGCTATCCTGTCTCCCTTGCTCCTTCTCTTCACTCGACTAGCTGTGTCTAGTTCCTGTAACTGTTCTTCACATGTTTAGCCTCCAGTCCCCTCATCATCCTGGTTGCTCTTCTCTGCACTCTTTCTAGAGCATCGACATTTTTTTTTTATCGTGTGGTGACCAAAACTGGATGCAGCATTCTAGGTGGGATCTTACTAAGGCTTTATAGAATGGTATTAGTACCACTCTATAAAGATCTCCACCGCAAGTCTTATGAAAGCTCTTTCCATTTTCAAAGTCCTGATCTGAAATCCATTTTTGAAGTGCCGATGTGAAACCCAGGCCCGATCTTTCAGGAAGCAAATCTCCCCATCTTTTCTCCCTTCTTCCAAACTGAGGCACCTATTCTGAACCCGTGAAATTCTTGTTGTTAGATGAGTTTCAGAGGGATAGAGTCAAGATCACATGAAGTGTTAATACGGCCTTACACTGCACTGGCGAGCCAGACTTGGAATATTGCATCCAGTTTGGTCATCACGATACAAAAAGATGTTGAGACTCTAGAAAGAGTGGAGGGAAGAGCAACAAAGATAATAAAGGGACTGGGGGCTAAAGCATATGATGAACATTGCAGGAACTGGATATGTCTACTGTAACAAAGAGAAGGACTAGGTGTGACGTGATAGCAGTCTTCCAATCTTTGAGTGGCTCTCCCAGAGAAGAAGAGGGGCATTTAACAAAAAACAAAACAAACAAACCTGGGGGCAGGACAAGGAAGCAATGAATAGAAACTTAACAAAGAGAGAGCCAGCCCAGAACTAAGGGTAAATTTCCTGACAATGGGAACAATTAACCTTGTGAAGTGCTTGCCTTCAGAGGTTGTGGGTGCTCCATCACTAGAGGTTTTCAAAAAGAGATAGGACAGCCATTTGTCCAGAATATGATAGGGTCTACTGCATGAGCAGGATGGGTTGGACTAAAAGAGCTCCATGGCCCCTTCCAACTGTTGTTATTCTGTAATTCTGGATCTTCAGTGGGAATTCAACAAACGCATGTAACTCTATTATTCTGCTTGAAGATCAAAATGGGCCCTGGAGAAATCTTACAAGTTGGCTTATCCTGCTTGAATATTGATGCTTATATTTCTGTCTCTCTCTCTCTCTCTCCCTCTCTCCCTCTCTCCCTCTCTCCCTCTCTCCCTCTCTCTCTCTTTTTCTCTCTTTTTTTTCTCAGCCATTGACTGTGGTCCCTGCGAGATTCCAAGACTCCAGAGGAGTTCCAATCAGTGCTGTCCAGTCTTCGAATGTGGTAGGTCCCTGAGAGTCATTGCCACGTTGCAGTACCAATAGTCCTCAACTTACAACCATAATTGAGCCCACAATTTCTGTGGAAAAGCCATCCATCCATCCATTCATCCATCCATCCATCCATTATCTATCTATCTATCTATCTATCTATCTATCTATCTATCTATCTATCTATCTATCTATCCATCCATCTATCTATCTATCCATCTATCCATCTATATCTATCTGTCCGTCCCTCCCTCCCTCCCTCCATCTACATCTATCTATCTATCTATCTATCTATCTATCTATCTATCTATCTATCTATCTATCTATCTATCCATCCATCTATCCATCTATCCATCTATCCATCTATTCAGCCAGCCAGCCAGCCATCTACATCTATCTATCCATCCATCTATCTATCCATCTACATCTATCTATCTATCTATCTATCTATCTATCTATCTATCTATCTATCTATCTATCCATATCTGTCCATCTATCCATCCATCCATCCATCCATCCACATCTATCTATCTATCTATCTATCTATCTATCTATCTATCTATCTATCTATCTATCTATCTACCTATCTATCCATCCATCCATCCATCCACATCTATCTATCTATCTATCTATCTATCTATCTATCTATCTATCTATCTATCTATCTATCTATCCATCCATCCATCCATCCATCCATCCATCCATCTATCTATCTATCTATCTATCTATCTATCTATCTATCTATCTAT